TCACGATAGATGCCATCACGACAGGTTAGGTTTTGGATCGTGACAATTGAGTTTTATGGTAATAGTATAAAGGCTTAATTTGAGGTTTTAGTATTATTTTCGTTATTTCTCTATTCATGTTAGACTTGCCTAGTCTTAGAGACTAGGTACCATCACGACATCCTACGATGGGAAATTGGGGTCGTGACACCAACTAAATCTATTTCAACAATTATACAATTCTCTCATGGATCTAGTCTTGGTGAAATTATATATAAGAAGGTAACTTTCACAAGTGCATTTGCTAGTGTCAAAAACCTCTTTTTCTTTTAACTTCGTTTTACATGTGAAATTAGTGTATTTTCCCCACTTTTCTTTTGTGGATTGCAAGATATTAGACATCCGCCACCGTGCAAAATGAGGAGCTTGAGTAGATGCGGAGAATACTTCAACGGCTTTCTAGAAACTATGCGGAGGGACGAGAGAGAAGAATCCAGAAAGAGAAGATTAGGAGCGCACTTAAGAATGATATCGAGTCCCTCAAGGCTCAAGTGAATAACTTAATCGGCCTGCCCCGCTTTCCGCCAAAAAAGCTCCATTTATGAAGAGGATCAAAGTGATGGAAACGATGTAAATGATGGAGAAGATGATGGGGAATCCGAAGATGAGGAGGGGTTTTAAGTTTGGTTGGATTGTTGTGTTTTAGTTGGATGTTGACTTTTGATTACATTTTGAAGTTTGGTTACATTTTGTTTAGTTTTGATTGGATGATTATGAAGTTTGGTTGGATAATTTTGATGTTTGATGGGATAATTTGGATGTTTAGATAGTTTATGAAGTTTTATTATTATTAATTTATGTTTTATTGTGGTTGCATTTCTGTTTCTATTGAGTTTTCTGGTTAGCAGGTGGTGCAACTAAAAATAAGCAGTTCTTGTCAAAGATATACCAGAATTACCGAGGGACTTACCGACAGACTCCATCGAAAAAATTGTTTATTTGTCAATGCAAAATTCCTATTTACCAAGGGAGTATGTCGGTATATTAAAAACAATTTTTCGAATTTCATTGAACATACCAGCGGATCTCTATCAGAATATGGATTAATTCATATTTTAAATTTTTAAATTTACTAAATTATAATTCTAAATATACCGATGGTGTCCATCGGTAATATTAAATTATTATTTTTAGTATATCGAGAAAACTCCATCGGTATTGATATTATTAATATTATATTATTTTATAATATATCGACTGATATCCGTCAGTAAATAGAATTATCTAAACAAATTGTGTTAGAAAGCTAATCGATGGCTATGCGATGGGATCCATCAGTAATTACCGAAGGAGTTTGTCTGTCGCCTTTACCGAGGAGCGATTTACCTACATACCACTTACCGACGGTACTCTTCCCTCAGTAAAACCTTGTTACTGAGGGACGTCCCTCGGTAATCTGAGTCGGTAAACAACTGTTTTTTAGTAGCGTTGCAAGATAAAACAAAGGAAGCGTGACAAGGAAAGAAAGAAGGAAGTTTCCTAGTTGTCTCATAGCCTCTCGAAAATAAGTATAGACGTCTTCATACCGATTCGCAAGACTCTACTAGACATGCTCAAGATTCCGTGCCTAAATATATCTCTTGATTTACTTATTTTAGATACATTTGACCTTGTTGTTGAGAATCGCACAAGTGATTATTGTTATTATATCGGTCTATCTGTCTCTAATAATTAATAGTAATATATCCAGGCCTTTCTTTGCATCTATTTCTTGTAGCTGTACTAAGAAAAATATAAGCATACTCCGACTTGCTTTTGATAAAGCTGGTTGGTAAATTATAGAAGTACTACGTTGAATTGAAGTAGTCATGCTTTCTTTCGTGCTAACTGATGAGACGTCCTTAAACACACCAGCTTGTATTTGGAACACAAGAAGAATCTTCTTGGTTTCTCAACCAGAAACAAACGGGGTTGGGGGGAGGGGTTAAAAGTGCGTTCACGAATTAAAGCAACTTTTGAATGGATATGGTTATTCGTGTCAAATCTGTTGGTGACTACAGAATCCCCTTTTTCAAAGTCATATGGGTAGGGTTAATGGTCATACATATTGCCTGGCTGTGGATACCGAATCTGCCCTCAGATTTATCGTTTGTGGATATTGATGCTCCTTGTAGTTTCCTTTTGAAATTAAAATTAACTGAAAGATAATAGAATATATATTGCTGTATGTGTTAGCCATGCAGGTAAGGCATGCAGCTTACAGGGATCTAGATTGGCCAACTGCTTCTTCATTAACATAATTCATGGTACGAATCTTTCTAAAATGGATTCAAGACATATATAATGATCACGTGAAAGAAAAACCACTAATATTGCAGTTGTAACTTCTTGTCTTAATTTTTCTAAGTTACTAATTTTACTTATTTAGTAACCTCTACTTAATTATCTGTTAAAAGATATGATAATATAAAAATTCTTTTACATTGTCAGTGTATAATAATTTAAACTCCTATCTTAAGTACGTGTAGAAGTACCTACAGAATCAATAATGCATCAATCTAGCTAGTATTTCGTGCAATTCATGATTGTAAAACAAGAAATATGTGTCATTGATTTTCCTTTGTAACCAATCGCCATTCTGGATATAGGGAATTGCCAATTTTCCATCTGTGGATATTAATCGTCTTTCGATCAATTTCCATGGAAGGGGGACAATAATGAGCTGGGAACTATATATCCAAAACTAGATTAATGAAACTAAAAACTGGTGACAGAAGATTGGACATTGGTCATGAGATTGCCTTTCACGAAACACCATGATGAATATTTTCAAGATTATGGAGATAAACTGGGACAATATATCTGCCATTCTCCTCCAAAGGGACATAATTATAGATCAGTTTCAAGTATACATGAGGCGCAGCTGAAGAGATCGAGTTGATTGAAAATGTACCTACTTCTACTGTGGACCCTCCAATGCCAAAACTTTATTTTTCCTGATCCATTCCGTCTCATCATATGTCTTGCAAAAGTTTGATTCCCCACCCCACTCCCACTTCATCTGCTTTCTGAATCTCATAAAAGCAGAGGGTGGACTAAGGGCTTGAATAATATTTACAACTAACAAAAGCTCCTTTGCTCGATCACTATGTGAACCACCCGGGGATGTGGTGGGATGATTGGAATGTCACCGCGTTTAACCAAATGTCTCAACTTCTATTAGGGTTCTCGTTGAAAAAGACTCCTAAAAGGAGTAAATCTCCTTAATATGCCTTATCTTTTTCTTGGAAATCAAGTTTTGCACATCTATAAATTGAGGATCTCTGTTTCTTACACCACCAACAACAACAATATTTACAATGTAGTCATTAAGAGAATCACGTTTAGGGGGAGATTTTTCTTCTCAATATTTTTTTTATATTTTATACCAGTTTTTATATATAGGTCAATTGATCAAACGCCATTATAATATCATATTTAGTATAATTCTTTTGTCGTCTGATTTATTGTCCACCAAACTTTGCATTGTTAGCTTTCGCATGTACCATGTTATTTCGATCCCAACAACTTCAAGCTCCAAGAAAGAGAATTTTTTTGTAGGGAGCGATTTATCCCTCTTAGTGAATTTTGATAGTTTCTATGATTATTGAAGATTCTATGGACTTTTTTACTTCATTTTATGGGTAGCCGGAATGAGTTTCGAATACTAAATGCCTAGAGAAATAGAAAAGGATCACTATGATAATGAACCAATGATCCCATTTTCTTGCAGGACGGGCTGGAATCCCGTTATGTCTTCATTGCTAATACGTTGACCAAAATATATTTCTAGCTTAATATAACCAAAATATAGTATAAAGCTATCTTTTTTAAATAGTGACCTGACGGAGTGATAGATTTAAGAGAGCGCGGCGCTACAAGAATATCAATAGCATATACTTTAATACAAGAGGGGTATCTTTTGCTTTTTCTTGAAGCGGTCTAAAGTGAGAGTGCGGGCTCCTCCAGTCCCTGCTACTCATTTCCATGCAAATATATGTAAAAGAGATTAAAGATGGTCCCTCGACCAAAGTATCTGTCCTAGTTGCTAGTTCCCACTAAAAAAGGAGAGCAATTACATGCATACAGCTATAAAAACGATGAGCGATTTTTCTTTTTCTTGTCCAACACGAGGACTATGTTCATTTACTAACTCTTTACAACTTCCGATGGCATATTTAGAATTTTTCATAAGCTGTGTTAATATTTAAAAAAGAGAACAAATGAAGAAATCATAGTAAGAAAATAACATTGCAACTCAAGTACATTAACGTAAATGTCCTCGACAAGTTTTGAATTAGGGTCCCTAATTTTTGTCTCAGAATTTGCTAATCTAATTAATATGATAATTTTTCTTTTGCAGTAAGATAATTAGACGCTACTTAATCCAAGCACTCATGCTAGTTTAGTGCCAAAAGCGGAGTCACATCGTTTCAGGCCTCATTTAAAGAGAAAATATAAACCTAATGAATTAGAATAGGGGTTTTGAACATATGAATTTGCTGAACCAGGTTAACTGCTAGACCAAGTGGGATCATCCAATATATATATAAGCTCCTTTTTTTTTTATGCATCCACCCCTGCACCCTTTTTTATTTCGTTTTATGGTATCATCACTAATTTTGGAAAAGATAATGGTGAACAACAATAGAATACATGAATTTTGTATCGGTGGAAAATTTTGAGAGTTCAATTAACACGTTAATTACATGCTATCTTTCGTGTCAACTCAAACTACAGCAAGCGGAGAGCATAGCTATCAGCTTACAAGTTTTGGTGGGGGGAGGAAAGGATAAATTCATCGTGTGGGCACACAAGTAATTTTGCCTTAAAAGCAACGGAGTTCAGAATGTAGTTGCTCAAATGGTCTGTTGCCAATGCATCTTTATGTTAAGTTTGCTTTTTCTTTTGCTTTTGCTTTTGCTTTTCCTCCACAAAGTTAAAGATGATGAATCCAAAATACAAAGGAAAATAATTAAGAATTAAAATGGGAAAAGTTAGAGCTACAAATCAACACCATCCAAGGCCGAAACTTACCATCATCCTTTCTCACTATCAATGGAATCCTTCCAAACACCTGCAGCTTCTTCTGTTTGATGTTTCCCAAAGTATTCAAACTTCAGTAACTTCACTTACTAAGTATCTAAATGGCTGCTTCTGGTACAATTCTCTTCTTTTTCACTTATTTCCTCCTCGTGTTCCTCACTTCTCCTCATGTCATCACTTCGTCCCAACCCCATAATCTGTCTCTGAGACGACAGGCCAAGATTCTAGTTTCTCTGAAACAAGATTTTGTAGCCTCTATTCCTAGTACTCTGTCTAGTTGGAACATGTCAAATTATATGTATCTCTGCTCTTGGAACGGCATCACATGTGACGACACCAAATCAGTAACTTCTATTGATATCTCCAATCTAAACATCTCTGGCTCTCTCTCACCTAATATTCATGAGCTTACTACACTTCAAATCCTGAATATTTCCAACAACTTGTTTAGTGGAAATTTGAGCTGGGAGATTCCAAGGTTGAAGGCTCTTCAAGTGCTGGATGCTTATAACAACAATTTTTCTGGCCCACTCCCCTTGGTAGTCACTCGACTTCTGCAGCTGAAACATTTGGATTTCGGGGGCAACTACTTTTCGGGGCAAATTCCTTTGGGCTATGGTAATTTTAATCAGCTTGAGTTCCTGTCTCTTGCGGGAAATGACTTGCGCGGTCCTATACCTCGTGAGTTGGGCAACCTTACAAACCTCAGATGGCTGCAATTGGGTTATTTCAATCAGTTTGATGGGGGAATTCCACAAGAGTTGGGAAAACTGGTCAATTTGGTTCATTTAGACCTTTCCAGCTGCAACTTGGACGGGCCGATTCCAGCAGAACTTGGTAATCTTAACATGTTGGACACTCTCTTCTTGCAAAAAAATCAACTTACTGGGATGATTCCTCCTGAGCTTGGAAATTTGACGAGCTTGAAATCGCTTGATCTTTCCATCAATGAACTCACAGGAGCGATCCCAATTGAATTCTCGGGACTCCAAGAGCTCACCCTGTTGAACTTGTTTATCAACAATGTGCGTGGTGAGATTCCCCAATGCATTGCGGAGCTACCAGAATTGGAGGTGCTGAATCTTTGGCGGAATAATTTCACTGGATTCATACCTTCGAAACTAGGGATGAATGGTAAACTAGTTGAGATTGATCTTTCTAGTAATAGACTCACTGGCTTGATACCAAAATCTCTATGCTTAGGGAGGAATTTGAGGATCTTGATTTTACTTAATAATTTTCTCTTTGGACCTTTACCTGATGATTTTGGCCAGTGTCACTCTTTGTCCAGAGTCAGAATGGGGCAGAATTACTTAAGTGGATCAATACCGACAGGGTTCCTTTATTTGCCAGAGTTGTCACTGGTGGAACTACAGAACAATTACATCAGTGGACAACTCTCAAACAAGAAAAGTTCGGTATCGTCCAAACTTGAAGGGCTGAACCTGTCGAACAATCGCTTGTCTGGTGCACTTCCCAGTGCTATTGGAAAATTTTCAGGCTTGAAGAATCTTTTATTAAGTGGAAATCGATTCTCAGGCGATATTCCTTCTGATATAAGCAGACTGAAAAGCATCTCAAAGCTGGACCTGAGTAGGAACAACTTCTCTGGCAGAATCCCTCCTGAAATTGGTAACTGTCTTTCACTAACTTACTTGGATTTGAGCCAAAATCAACTTTCTGGTCCTATCCCAGTTCAAATTGCTCAAATTCACATCCTAACTTACATCAATATTTCTTGGAATCACTTCAACGATAGCCTTCCCGAGGAGATTGGCTCAATGAAGAGCTTAACTTCAGCAGACTTTTCCCACAATAACTTAACTGGATCAATACCTGAAACAGGACAATATTTATTTTTCAACTCAACTTCCTTCATTGGCAACCCTTATCTTTGTGGATCCTACTTGACTCCTTGCAACATAACATCCAACGCACCGTCACAACTTGGTGATGGAAGTGACAAAAAAGCCAAGGTTCCAACAAAATACAAGTTTATATTTGCATTTGGACTCTTAGTCTGCTCTCTCATTTTTGTTGTCCTAGCAATAATCAAGACAAGAAAGGGGAGTAAGAATTCAAATTCCTGGAAGCTGACAGCATTTCAAAAGCTCGAATTCGGAAGTGAAGACATTTTGCAGTGCTTGAAAGATAACAACATCATAGGAAGAGGTGGAGCAGGGACAGTGTATAGGGGAAACATGCCAAATGGTGATCATGTGGCAGTGAAGAAGTTGGGAATTAGCAAAGGTACCCATGACAATGGTCTATCTGCTGAAGTTAAAACATTAGGAAAGATCAGGCATAGGTACATTGTTAGACTACTGGCATTTTGTTCAAACAAGGAAATCAATTTGCTGGTTTATGAGTATATGCCAAATGGTAGCTTAGGTGAAGTGCTTCATGGGAAGAACGGCGGACTTCTCCAGTGGGACACTAGGCTAAAAATAGCCATAGAAGCTGCTAAGGGCCTTTCTTATTTGCACCATGATTGCTCGCCTATGATAATCCACCGCGATGTCAAGTCCAATAATATATTGTTGAATTCAGAACTGGAAGCTCATGTTGCAGATTTTGGATTAGCCAAGTACTTGCAGAATAATGGTACCTCAGAGTGCATGTCTGCAATTGCAGGCTCGTATGGCTACATTGCTCCAGGTAACTCTTTTACCCCATTAATTTTGCTTCTCAAATTTAAGCCTCTAATTTGTCCATAGATATGATTACTCACTTCTGTCCATATTATTTGTTACACCCTTTAAAAAAGACATTTAATATTTACGAGTATTTGTCTAAACTATCATTTATCTTTCTTTAAATGTTTCGCTTACTCCACTAATTAGAGCAGTAATGATAGATTTAGAAGAAAGAAAAGTAATAAGTTGCTTCTTATTTTTAATTTTAAACGTCGAATATTTTGAAAATAAACTTAATTTGCAAAAATTAAAAGAACTAGCAATTAAAGAGAGAAGTTAATATTCTAGATCCATGCTAAATTTGAAGTGCGGCAAGCTATTGACATATTTACGGTGGTTGGAATCTTGAAATCTCAAAGTTTGTTCCACCTCATCATTTTCAGGTAAGACGCAAAAGATACCACAAGCTAAGGTTGTTTTCTTGAACGGAGTAAAATATGTGCAGTACTAATCTCCAAGAAAAGAACACAAACATTAAGGAATATTCCTTGTACTTTTTTAAAACAATTAATTCTGCTGAATAATAGTGATGGTTTATTCCTCTTCTCTTCACTAGAATTATTAAGAACGTAACCTTGGATTCATAAAGAGCAATCCAAAGCAACTTTTTGACCCAAAATGTAGTGTGAATATAAAAGCAGTAAAATTTATCCCAAGAATCAAGATTCTGATCCAAGGCTTACTTTCTCCAAGCCCTATAAAGAGGAGCACGTGTTTGGAATACAAACAACTGGCTTTCTCCTTAACTTAATTAATTGTGTTGGTTACTTTTTTTCTTTTAGTGATGTGTATACTTTATTTTCTTTCCCACCTACAAAGAGATATAGTGGAAGGGAGAATAACTTATTAACTTCTAACCTTTCAGATTATGGTCCTATAGTGTAACAAAGAATAATACTATACAAAGTTTTGCTCTTGACATGTCAAATTTTTTTTTCTTAATATCTTTTTTACAGAATATGCATACACGCTGAAAATTGATGAGAAAAGCGACGTATATAGCTACGGAGTGGTATTATTGGAGCTCATAACAGGACGAAGGCCAGTGGGGAATTTTGGAGAAGAAGGAGTGGACATTGTGCAATGGGCCAAAAGGGAAACTAATTGGAGCAAAGAAGGAGTGGTCAAAATATTGGATGAGAGGCTTAAAAATGTTGCAACTGCAGAAGCGATGCAAGTATTTTTCGTGGCAATGCTGTGTGTTGAAGAGTACAGCGTAGAGAGGCCCACCATGCGGGAAGTAGTCCAGATGCTTTCTCAAGCTAAACAACCAAATACTTTCCAAATCCAATGATGTTTCCCATATAATTGATCATCTAGCTAATCGTGGGATCGAATAATTAATCAAGCAGCAGAAGCTACTAATTCTTATATATCTTTTTTAATTATCATTATTCACGTAGTTTCCTTTCTTTTTTTTTCTTTTTTTTTAACTTGTGTGCCTGAGGAAACCCTTTTGTCATTTGCTAGCTTTGCAAATGTGAAATTAGAAATTAATTGAAGTGAGCAGTTGCTATATGGTTAAATGTTAGAGAATAATCAGTACTTAACTAACTACCTTTGAACTTGGCATAGTTTTAATGTCAGGCATGGGTTATGTCGGGTATGTCACGTTAAACTCAATAGGTTTTTAAGACATCGAGTACACGTCATGCCCTCATCTTTTTTGGGGCGTGACATTAATAAAAGAGGACATCATGACTTAAATTTCTTGAGTCAATGGTCTATCGCAAATATCTTTTCTAGCTCCATAAAGTCATACACTTATGGGAATACAAGGGGCATATTGTTGTTATTGTATCATGACTTAAATTGTCTTTTGTACATAAGTTATTTAATTTAATTTATTCTTTAATTAGTTGTTTAATTTAGGTCATTCTTTCATCTAATTCTTTATTCATTCACATTGAATCTTTACTGTGGTTTAGATAATAATAATGTAACAATCCTACTAACAATATTTATGTTTAAACCATAGTAAAAATTTCCATATATATATGCAAAGATATATATCTTCTAAGTTAGGCCTTGTTTCACTTTGAACATCCTTTTTTGTTGACATTTTCAATTCACTCCTCTCTACTTCCAGACATCCTTAATACTTTCAAATCATATCCCAATTATATTTTCATATCCAAATAATATTCTTCAAATCTTATCTCTAGTTAACGCGTGATATTTTATACTTCAATACCACACAAGAGGGGTAATTTGTGTGGTGTCCAATTTTTTGTGTGCACAAATTATAGAAGGACCTGGTTCTTCTACGAGTTCCTTACACTACAGTTGCGGAATAATAAATGCAGAAAGTAAAGAACACAAGTATTTTTACGTGAAAAATACCCAGCTAAAAAGGTAAAAAAATCACGACCTACTTCCCAGTAGGATTTTTCCCAACACTTCACTAAATTACTAAGCCAAAAACAGCATTTACAAAACTCTTATAAACATAAGGATTACCTCTAACCCTCTGTGGAAACCAGCCTCAGGCTATTGCGACAACTTCAAGTTAACTCTAACTTGAATAATACAACTCAAAGTACCTAGTACAAATGCTTCTAGAGAAAGATGAAAGGTACATCTCAAAAACTCTACTACAATGGAACTAGAATAAAAGACAGACACTTGGAACTGGTTCTTCTATCTGGTTCATGTAGCTTTAGGTTCGCATACTTGAAACACATAGGAATTGCTTGCAAAATGCCTTGCTATTTTGCTCTCAATTCTTGTTTAACTTCAGTGTTTGTGTGCCACCTGTAAAAGAGAACACCACTAATATTTATAGAGTTAGTAGAATAAGAAATAACTAGAGTTCTAATGCTTTACTCTTCCATGGTGGAAAAGTTCTAGTTATATTCAACTTCTAACTCCTCCCTTATCTAGGATAGAGTTCTCTTCAAGTAAGGAGTCCTGCTCCTTATCAATTATGCAACCTTTTCGTTCAGGAGATATCAGATATAATCACTTATGCTTATCCCCTTCACGTGCATACCTTGTGCTTGAATCTGCCCGTGTCCTATGTATATTGTGTATAGACCTAGTTCATGCATGTGTTCCTTTGTCAATCATCAAAACAAAACTTACTCAAGCCAACAGCACTTAAAACAATATGTTTAGGATATGTTAGCATACTTTAAGAACTTAAAATTTTTGGGAATTTGGAATCGCTACAAGTGCTAAAAACCTCATTTCCCTTTGGTCTTCTTCACAAACCCCCTCCCACCTTCATTTTCTTCCACAAATCCCTCCTTCATCTTCTTCCCTATACCCTCCTCCTCTTTCGTCTACGTTTCTAGAAACCCCCCCCCCCTCATTGTCACGATCCAAAATTACCATTCGATCGTGATGGCGCCTAACTCACTTGCTAGGCAAGCCAAGCATAACAAGAGCGGAACAAGAAAACAAAATTACGAAAATAGTACAAGCCTAAATCCAAATATCAAAAATACATTGCGTCAATGCATAAAATTCTCGAAATTGGCAAAACAAAGTCATGAGTTCTATAATAGATATACAAGTCCAGAATCACGAAATGAAAATAATGTCTGAATAATAACAACAGTAATTGAAATGGAAAGAAACATCAAGGACTGCAGTCGGAAAGCAGCTCTACCTCGTCTCTCAGCAGCTCAACTACAATCACAACAACTCTCAGTTGGGTCCAACATCTGGATTTGCATAATTACGTGTAAAGTATAGTATGAGTACAACCGACCACATTTACTTAGCAAGTATCATAACTAACCTCAGCGAGGTAATAGTAGCAAGAATTACCAATGATACTCGCTAACAACTTGCTCAGTTCATAAGTTGCACAAGTACACAGTAATGATATCAACCAATCATAAAATACATAAATGACCACATCAATGCACATAGAGAAGATGTGTCAAGTCATGTATCCATTAATAGCTCAGCATATAGAGAAGATATGCATTTAAGAATCAAATCAATGTGCACAGGTTAACATATAGAGAAGATATGTATCGTGCCTTCACCTCCCAGTCAAATGGTATATAGAAAAGATATGCATAAAGAGGAATGTATACATTCCAAAAATGGCATATGGAGAAGATATGTGATAAAACATGTATACACCCAAGGTAACTGGAAATAGAGAAAATACGCAAAAACCCAAACACTGATCAATTTTCCTCATATCGCGTGTACGTTATCAAGAGAGAAATATGAGAGGACGACCCTAGGCGGATGGATCCTTATCCACACGTTGCATGGACAAATTACGTATCAAAATATATCAACCGAATGGACCACTCACGTGCTATCATAGCTCAAACTCGCATGGACCACTCACATGCTACCAACCAGTCCATATCACACAAGAAATATATACAGGAATATATGTATATGAATAACGAACATCAAATCACATACTCGTGGACTGGTGAACGTGGCATGCTAAGGTGTATGCACGTGCGAGGTGTACTACCATATCTCAGGTTAGGCGAATACGCCACAAAATAGTAATTTTCATGCTTGAATAGGATATTAACCTATATATTATCTCTAACATGATTCATGTAACACCTAAAAAAAAAAACTAATATTTGCATTATCAATTGACCATATCTTTATAACAAGGATATATTTTTCTGTGTACTTCCTAAACTAGAATTTGACGATATTTTGNATATATATATATATATTTTTTATGACACAACTTTCCACAAGCACCTCTCATTTCATTCCTTCATGATAAAGAAAATCCCAATCATCTCTCCTTCTTATCTTTGGAAATATTACACCAAAACGTCCAGGTTCTTCAACTAAGCCAACCATCAAGTATTGTTCTTGTTAAACCACAAGTTGCTCCTCTCTTTTGTGATAAGTTACTAAATACGTTTATACACTAGACAACTGTTAGTATTTTTATCGTATCTCTTTGTATAAAACTCCGTTTTAAGTAAGTCAAGCTTTCCTGGAAATTTATTTCATATATCTATAACTTTTGTTTAGGCTCCAAAACCTAATTTTTCTTGTATTTATCCGAAAATAGGTGATAAAGTACAGGGCAGGTGTTGCCCAGATTTTTGTTTTACAATCTTTACATGTACCACTGTTAGTATTGTAAGCATATTTGTTTGTACGAAACTTATCTTAAGATGATTTAAATTTATATGGAACTCCAAGACATATATCTACAACCTTCATGAAGACCACAAATTCTAGTTTTTCTGTTTATATGTTCAAAATTGAGCCACAACACAAGACAGTAGTACTGTCCAGAATTTCTATTTTAAATATTTAGGGCAATTTTTATCGATATCATGTTTAGTTCGACATGTTGAAATCACTGAACTTATATAGATATTTGATTATGTATTTAAGGTATATATATCCTTTTAAAATATAAGGGGAGTTTTTGAGGAAGTGGACGGATTTGGTTGGTCTATGGCATCGACGATTCGAACGTCCTAAATTTGTGGTAGAACTGTTTTGTGGTAAAATACCATGGTTTGTGTATAAAATTGATCTTAAAATCTCTGTACTTGCTGGATATTTGGAAATAACTTAAACTTTTGCCTCCTTTCTCTTCACTTTATATCGTTGTATTGGTATTATCTCAATATTGCAAGATATTTGTTAAATCGCCCACTCGTACGAATTGCTTGATCATTTTACATTCTTGTTGGGATTTTGTCCTTCTTGTGGCAGTGAATTTGTCACTCATCTCGGCATACCTGTTGATTCGAATCGTTTTGCTATCTTGACTATGAATTTGTGGTTCGTCTTAAATTATGGAACTTGTCTGTATTAAGTATGAACTAGAAAGCCATTTTTAATATGGTTATTGATTCTCTTGACTATTGAGTTTCAACCCTACTTGATTTGGGGATTCGATCCATCTTGATATCTGATTATTCTTAGTGTGATGGCATGACGTACATATTGGGCGAAAATGAATATTTGGCAAACTCGCTTGGATTGATATTACACACTTTTTTGACACTTGAATCTTGAACATTAATATTGATATTTGAAAACACTTCAAGGCTTGATATTCGATACTTTTGATATATTTGTTTGCTTGCTTTAAATTTATGTTTCATTTGAGCTACCTATGACTAAAAAGGGAATTGGATAACAAATACAACATCTTTCAGCTGGGTCCAACATCTGGATCTGCACAATTAAGTGCAGAGCTTAGTATGAGTATAATCGGCCCCATGTACTCAATAAGTATCATAACTAACCTCGGCAAGGTAATAGTGGCAAGAATTACCAATGATACTCGCTAACAACCTGCTCAATTCATAAGTTGCACAAGTACACAGCAATGGTACCAACTAATCATAAAACACATATATAACCACATTAGTGCACATAGAGAAGATTTGCCAAGTCATGTATCCGTTAACAGCTCAACATAGAGAAGATATGCATTTAAGAATCAAATCAATGTGCACATGTTAACATATAGAGAAGATATGTATCGTGCCTTCACCTCTCAGTCAAATGGCATATAGAGAAGATATGAATAAAAAGGCACGTGTATATTCCAAAAATGGCATATAGAGAATATATGCAATAAA